TAAGAATATTAAACATTAATGCATTAAGTTGCAATATTAATCATACTTATTTAAAAGTATGTTCCTCTGAAAATAATTTCCTTACCTTCTGAGAAAAGTGGTTTGGAGTTGAGAATTGAAAATGCTTAAAAATGATTTTTTAAAATTTCTAGCCCATTAAGCAAATTTGATCTCAGTGGAGAAGATGAACAATGTTACCAAATTTAGGCAGCAAAAAATCAGATAGCCATTAATTGGAAGCAAAGTTTAGTTTCCTGTAGCTTTTTGAGGCTATCTAGTCATCTTTTGGATTTCTGTAGCCCTGTTCTCATTGTTAATTATGGAATTCAATCATGGAAATAAACATGACATTAATTATGCTTTGGGTGTCCTCCTTTCAAGGATTCTATTTAAGATATGCCAAAATTCATTGGTAAGAACTTCTTTATTTCCCCATCTGGCTGTAAAATCAAGACTCCATGGTTTCTGCTATGTACCCATCACTTCTAGTCATCCTGATAGCTTTGCTGCTTCCCATTTAGTGGGCTTTACTTCTCCTCTGCCATCAAATGAAAAGGACAGGAGGGTCAGCAAAGTGCTGGCTGGAGAGTCATATTTTATGCTTCCTCCATTGGCCTGCTTTTGGGAGGACACTAGTGAGGGAGAGATTCTGGGAGAGATCCAACCCAGCAGAAATACAACTATGTGGAAATATAGTTGTCCTCCTATGTCCTCATTTTTGAGACCAGTCACCTGAATATTTTTATTATTTAATCTCTCATTTATCGTTTCTCATACTTTGGTGACTGCTTAATTTTCTTTACATCATTCAAGTTTTCTATGTTTTTGTTTGAATTTCACTTATGAACTCAGCTATATGAATTCAGCTTTTCTTCAACAGCACTAAATTATATGTTTTAAAGATAAGATGTATGTCTGGTGATTAGTCTAGTCCATTTTTTCAACCTGCTTTTCTGTGTAGCCTACAGAAGAGGATTCCTGTATTAAATCATATTCCCCATAGCTTACAATGAAGTTGAGGAAAATAATTATTACTGTCAATTACTGGAAAATTATATTGTGATAAAAGGTAGATTCCACTTCACATTTCCATCTTTCACATTTCCATCTTTCACATTTCCATCTTTCCCATAGCACTTTGAGCTATTTGTTTTTAATTAATAAAAATGTGCAACTATTGCAATTTCACACCCTCAGTATGGAACATTGAGATTGTGCCCATGAATAAATGCCAGGCGGCTTGAACCAACTGATTGTTCTAATCTTTTGCAGCAGGTTTCATTGCTAGAATATCCTATACTGTATACTCTCCTCAATAAATAATGGTAGAGTTTTGGTCAGCGTTTTCCTAATTTTAATTACTACCTGGAATTGCTTGTGGACTATTAAATGAAAACAGAAGCAAGTCCATCAAACATTAATTTCTAAGTGTTCAAAAAAGTACAAAGTCTGCTGATTTGCAGACTAATGAGGCTGAAACGGTATAAGGAAACGGTAGTGTGGTTCGTTGGGTAGTGAGTGTGCACATTTTTCTATCATTTTTTATTGTGGAAGGCCTATATTTGCCTGCCTTAAAAAGATCTTTTTTCAACTTAAAAGAAGTACCATTAAAAATCCATAAGTACACTTGAAAGGGTATTCTGAGATTGAATTTCCTCCTAAAATAAATGGAATTTGTTACTATAATGGCCTCACTGACTTCAGTGCTGTTTTTTATGATTGACATAATCTGTAGGCTATCTCACAGTAAAACTGACAGGTGAAACAAAAGTGCTTATAGTTCATCTCCCACTATGACTCCAAACAGAACTAATTTTATTTCTTAACATAAAAAGGAGTCTCATGCTTTAATCCTGAATAAAGAGAGATTCCTTAAAATTCAGAGTAGATCAGACTGTATATATACACATAGACACACACACACACACACATACATACACATACATATATACATACACACATACACACATATACATATATACAAATACATATACATACATATATATATATATATATATATATATATATATATATATATATATATATATATATATATATATATACCGTATATATATATATATATATACCGTATATATATATATATATATATATATACAGTATACTAGATGCTTTAAAAAATCCTTATAAAAGTGAGTTGATATGGAACAGCTTTTTATTATAGAAAATCAACATATTTGTTTCTTACTAGATGCAGTTTGTCTCCTTCAATCCAGTGTTTCCAGCCTCTATTGTTTTTTTCACCTTTCTGGACACAGACAAGTTTGTCACCATCCCAAGTCACTGTTGACTTCAAGGATTAAAAGATAGTATTAAGCAACATTCTAGAAATTGAGATATTTAAACTTGGAACTAAATGCAGTTCAGTGAATGTGTCAGGAGAAAAACAAAAAGGGTGAAGGGAAATGCAGCCATCTCTCTGCAAAATCCCAAATTCTGATTGCAAACTAAGACTGTCACTGATGTTTCATGTTTCCAGCTCTTCACCCTGATTCATGAAATAACCACGGAAACAAATTACACAAATTTACTTATGATGGAAGTATTCCCTAGAAAGGGAAACCAATATGAAATTTGGTTCTGCTTTAAGAGGAGAGTAACTAATCTCCAATAGAAAAGTCATGCTTTATTTAAACTAATGCAACATCCACACACATATTTCTATTTCAGTAAATAAATTAGGGTGGTGTTCACCGCAGAATAGATTAAATTAAATTATTTTGTATAAAAGTAACACACCAACAACTGATGATTAAATCTCCCAGTTGTTTTACAAGGTTGCAAATAAAGCAGCTTTTTATTAGATACATAGTACAGGATAAAAACAACTGAAAATTTCTTGAAGAAAGGTTCCACCTTACATATCAAATTACTAGGATAGTTAACCTTTGAAAGCCTGCTCTGCTTGTGCAGTGCAAAATATTTCTTCATTTCAATATAATTTTTTCCAAAGAGAAAGGAATTTCAGTGGAATCTGTATTTTTGTACTTTTGTACTTTTTTTATTATGAAGAAATTCTGTGTGAATGTCCATGTAACATTTTGCAATCATTTTTGCAGTGATGTACCACTTCCCTGTTCCCATACATCCATCAGACCCTAGCAGCTAGGAAAGCATCAGGATGACAGAGAGGTTAATAATCCTAGCAGTCCCATCTTCTGCCAATGCCAAGAATAACAGCAGCAAAATAATTCAAAGCATATTCATGTACCCAGAGGAAAAGGTAGCAAATGGAAGTTCCTGAACAGGCAATAAAGCTTTAGAGAAATTTCAAGGTGAATTTCAGTAATAATAGCATCAGGCAAAGGGACAGAAAAAGTTTTTTTTTAAAAAAAGAACAAAAGATTTTTATTCTGTTGTTGTTGCTCATCAAACCTGCTATTTTATAAATGTTGGTAGATATTTTCTGAGTCTCTATTCATTTCCTTACTATTTTTGAAAAATCTGTAGACCTGAACTGGACTAGACAGCTTTTTAAATATAGCAAACTTGGATAGGTTTTTCAGCTTGAGGAGTAATCTTTTTTTTCAAGTGGAGAACTATCTGGATAGTTCTCTGGCACCATCCAGATGGTGCCAGAATGGAAAAATGGCCAGGAGGAAGAGGAGGGATTAAGAAAAAAAAATCCTGTAAAAATCTCATTTTTATATATAATATAATGTAATGTAACGTAATGTAACATAACGTAATATAATATATAATCTTAGTAGTTCTTCAGCAGCTTAATAGCAAATTGTAAAAAATTGCTGAAAACTTTAAAGTTAATGCAAAGACAGCATAGGTCATAGGTCATGCTGGTTGGGAATTGTAGGACTTAAAATCCACACATTGCCAACATTGAGAAACATAATTATAAGCTGTTCATCCTTGAGAACTATATTCTCAAAACTTGCAGTAGGGTAAGATATCTAGTCATCTGGTCTGAAACTTTTTGTTATCCACTATACTTTCCAGTGTATTGACTGGGAAGTATTTGATTGTAACCTCTTCTGAAGGTGATAGGAAGTGCAATAAAACTTAAGCTATCATTTGTCTTGATGAGAGGTAATTCCCCCCCAATCCAAGTTAGTTTTTGCTGGCCATGTTTATAACAGTGATTAACAGGAGAAAAAATCTATGCAATTTATGGGGGTTTGGCAACACTCTACACCTCTACACTGAAGAAGTAGAAAGTACAATTATTTTTCTTCCGAGTATTTCCCCCAAAATACAGGTTATACTTTTTTTTTAGTATCAACCAAATGTTAATCCATTGTGACAGGAATTAAATGAGTGGTTTATTGCCCAAGACTGATGTGGGCTGAGAGAAAGAGTGACTGGCTCAAAGTCAACCAGCTGGCTTTCATGCCTAAGGTGGGGCTAGAACTCAAACTCTGCTGATTTCTAGCCTGGTCCCTTAACCAATAGATCAAACTGGTTCTCAGAAAGAAGCAGAATGACTCCCTTAAAAATAATTAATCCCTGCTTTTGCTGGAAAAAAAACTCAAGTAGCAGTGTGTTTGTATAGGAATGCTGGGTAGAAATCACCCTGATAAGAAATCAGAGAGAATTATAAAAGAAATGAGGTGCTTTTTCTTCCTGTAGTCACATAACAGGACTGAGATAGAAAGAGAAAATTGAGGTTGCTGAAAGTTCAGCAAAGTGGCAGTTTTGTGCTCCTGAATAGGGCTGGTAAAGGATGGCTTTGTTATAAGGAGCATGCTGTGATGTCAGGGCACAGAAAGGTCACAGATGATAGGGAAGATGTTGGCTATAAGAAGCAAATCTCCCCATTCTCCTTGGAAAAAATAATTAGGTGATTGTAATGTTTGCTATTCTGTTCTGGAGATCTGATACAGAGGCACACAAGCCACAATTTACATCGGGTGCCTGTGACACCATTAGAATCAGGTGCAAAGAGTTACATATTATGAAACTGGTATTAGTGAAATTTAGTCCCCAATCTTATTCTCTCAATCCAGGGTGAAAGCAATAAAACAAACATTTGCTGGCATCTGATCAATACGTTCTATGAAACTCATCAACAATCCAAGCAGCACCCAGCATCCCGAGGCCAGATTGGCTGTTGATTGGAAGACAGCAGGAATGACTAGATTTCCCTTGTAATATACATTAAAGTGTTCCCTAGTTTCTCTATCTTCTCCAGACCTGATAGTTCAGCTTCCAGTCTGGACAGCTTTTGTTTGCAGTGTATTGAGGAAGGGCCATCTTGCGACATAATAGCAAGATGGACTTGAAATGTTTCTAGTTGGGTAAGGGACTTTGCATAAACAATAGGTTCTACCTAGTTTTGCTCACCACAAGAAAAATGTTTTGTGTGCTGCAGCCTAGAAGAATAAAGAGCAGTGACTACTGTGGCCAACAGGAATCTGATTTTCTCTGTGCCAAACTATGAAGTAAGTCTATGGCTGTCAACTAGGGAAATATAACAGTCTGGAACCATGAAGAGTTGAAAGCAAATAACAAGTAATTTTACCTTGCTGTCATCTGCTTGAGAAATTGTCATGATTTGCATATAGAATAAATAGTTGCACTAGCAAAGCATCTAGTTTCTGAAATGCAAATTTCAGCTTCTTTATAAATAAGCATTTCTTTAACATTTTAATTTGCTTTCAACCTGTTTACTTGAATGTCAGGGGCTTATATTGACTGCTGTGTAAATGGGAAACAAATAATAGGTTTTCTACCTTCACAACTCGATTGTCAAGCCCCTTGGTGTGCTCTTCAAATTCCACTCCTATGGTATAATTCAATTCATAGTTTCTGAAAGTGCTCAATGTTTTTGTCTTGAAATTGTCTCCATCTTGAATAATTTCTTTTGTTTGTTTTAGATGGTTTGCAATCTTACGGGTAGCAAAATCGATGCCTGCAGATGAAATAAGAGATATGCATTTTAACAATGTGCCTGATTAAATTTGATTTCTAAATGTAAAAACACAAACTTGTGAGGTTATGCAGATGCCTAATAAGACTTTTGGCTTTTTAAAAAGAGTTCACATCTCTTCTATGAACTGATTTTTAATAAGTTATTTTGAAGTGGTCAATGCATCAGAAAAATCCCTTGTTAAATTGCCATGTCTGACTGGAATTTATCTCAAGATAGCAGACTTGCACGTAAGGATCTGGAAGTAATTCCCATTGAAAACAGTGGGACTGATTTTCTAGGAAAACACATACAAGACTGTGCTCTAAAAGATGACGTATACATAAATACATGTATACATATTTTCCACTAGAAGAATATCTCATTATCTAAGGCTATGTCATGCCACTGTCCGAGCCTGACTCCAGGAAGACATGGAGTTCTCTGTTGAGGCCCAGGAGGGGGTGTCTGTGGCTTTGGAGGACTGTAGGGAGGAGCAGGCTGAGGCAGGCCAGGGCCCTTCAGGTTTGGAACAGTTAAGGCAGAGTTCAGGCTAAGAGCAAACCCCCCCACCTGATCCTAGAGCAAGGAGAGCAGAGAGGAGGAGAGAACAATGGAGACAGGCTCAATTGCTTGGGAGGAGAGCATCCCGCCCTACTCCACAAGGCACACCTGGGGATTAGGATTTAAGGAGATGCTGTGGGGTTGGGCATTTGCCGGGAACAAACATGGTATCTTGACATAGTTGTGAATTGTGCTCTTGTCTGTGTTTAACCTGGACACTTTGAATTCTGAACCAGTTTGTTTCCTGCTTCACGACCACAGACTGCATTCCTGAGTCTCTCCTTGCAGTTTGCAGTTTGCATCTGTCTTGTCTTGAGAATATTGTAAACTTCCCTGGCTGTATTGGTTGAACTCTTGCCAGCATATGTGGGAGCTTTTGGGCAACATTTGCAGTGATTAAAGGACTGTTGCGCTTGCCAGCCGACTGCTTTGCCTCCGTTTGGGGCCCTGGGTCATCACAGGCTACTTTTATAGAATTGTACAACAGTTAATAATGTGCTGATGTAATATGGTTAGAAGCTACAATTATCAAATAGGATTCTGAATGCAAAGTTCTTTCTCTGTCAATCAGATAATTCCTTGTGCCATTACCACCCAAGTTCTCTAACTATCACTGTTCTCCTCCTGGTTAGTACACTGACTCTTATGGTCAGTTTTTCACACCAGAACCTATTGCATACCAAGCTTTGTGATTTCAAACAAGACAAATATAATTTCTTAACCACCTCTCAAATAAAGATATTTAGCTATGTTACTAGAGAGGTGTTGTAACAGAAAGTAACATGATGGAGAGCATCAGGGACAGCACAAGAGCAAAGAATCGCCTATCTGTAACTGAAGCTTCTTTCTGCCTGAGAAACAGTAGGTAATATCCATTGATCCCCATCGCTTCCACGAACCAGTCCAACCTGTTTTTTTTAAAGCCAGTCAAGTTGGTAGCCACATCTCTTGGCAGAATCTCATAGCTACTAAATTTCATGGTGGCAAATTCTAAACTTTAGCTACAGTGCAATAAGGATTTAGGAACATTTGTAAGCAGTTCACACATGACCTGAATAATAAACCACATGCTCAATTCACACATTATGCTCAATTAAAGGCAGTTAGGTTTTATTGTTGTTTAGCAGGCCAATAAATTACTGAAACTCAGACATTAAAGGCACATGGGAGAGCTTCAGTATCCTTTGTGTTTGGACAACTCCTTTCCATAGGTATTTTTCTACTTTAATCTACTTTGTATTTGAATGTTATAATCACATGGGACAGCACAAGAGAGAGCAACCATAGCTCAGAAAGGAACCAATCTCCATCTAGGTAACAGAAAATTGAAACACATATTTATTTCTTTGTTTACTTGCATCCCACCTTTATTGTTTTTCCAAATAACTCAAGGTGATGAACATATCCAACACCCCTCCTCCTTCTATTTCCCCCACAACAACTCTGTGAGGTGAGTTAGGCTGAGAGAAAGTGACTGGCTCAAGGTCACTCAGCTGACTTTCCTGGCAAATTCATGTTCTTCTGTTTTTTAGCCTGGTGCCATAACCATTAGACCTGTGGTTCCCAACCCTTTCTATACCCTAGAATGCTTCTGATATATTCTTGCACCCCTTACAAAAGTTTGAAATAATGGCAACAAATTATGCATATACACTATAATTTTGAAAACCCAAGTTTTCGCACACCCTGGAATATTGTCTCGCACCCCCAGGGTGTGCAAGCACCCCTGGTTGAGAACCTCTACACTAGACAAAACTGGCTGTCTCATCTTATTATGTTCAGAACTTGCTGTGAAAAATGAGTTAGAAAGCATTAGTAGTTTTGTTGTTTAATCATCATTGCCTTCCATTACATAATGGCTTTTGTTATCACTTTATTTTGATCATGATCAGAATAGGATATTTGAAGAGCAATGGTATACAAAAAATCAAATATAAAAAAGGATATACTGGGCTGATTTCTTTCTTGTCATATTTCAGTAAAAGATGCTAGTGATGAGCTAAACAAATTCATCAGTGGGAATAGCAGTCAACCAAGATTGTTGTAAACACGTCCTTGAACTCAAGATGTATTTCACCTCTGTCAGCCAAAAGCTCAAAGATAGAGAGTGGTGTCGTTTATTATCCATTTCCTCCTCTAGCGGTTGCCACTGATTGAATAAGATTGCAAAGCATAAAGCAGCAAATGCAGTGTTGTGATGTAAGCCCTAGACCATTGGTACATATGTGAGAGGTACTAAAGAGGTGGAACTTGAATCATGATGCAACTATATCTTGCTCATTTTGATCCTCCTTGCAGATGCCAGTGAAAGCTTAGAATATCTGATAGATAAAATTGAATGTTTTTGCAAAGTAGATAATATTTTGCAGCTAAAATATCTAACGTTTCCCCAAGACAGCCATAGAGCAATCCTACCCAAGAAACAATTTAGTGGACCTAAAATATAAAGAAACACATACTTACATATACACAGGTGCATAGACCCACAGACCTACAGACATACACACACAGAGATATCTACACAGACATCTTATTTTGTCATCCTTTACCTTACCCTGTTAAGTATTACATTATCATTCTTATAAAATATGAATACAGTTTGCTATCTTTTACTGAATTTATTAGTGTTGTCTTTAGTGAGGAAAATCTGAACAAAAAATTATCCCTTCTTAAACACAGTAAATATTTTCATTTTAATTTAATCTATGCATTTTCCTCAGATTTCCTATTCTGATGCAGTTATGTTATATTCTTTTTTATTTTCTTGTGAAAGTAAAAAGGGCATCATATACATAAATATGATAAAATATTGAAAATATTTACACTGATAATTATACTAGTGTACTTATTGTATTGCAATTAATGTAATTATATATAAGAAGAAACCTGTCCCAGAAGTCAAAAAAGTGAAGATGTAATACTAATACTTCATTGCCTGGTTAACTGTTCAGAAGGAAAAATATGCAACAGGTCATGTATAAAAAGGGAACATTTGCAAATGATTGCCCCACTGATGGCTGGCACTATGTGCAGTAGTTGTACATCTGAAACTTAGCGATCTTTAGAACCGACAGCCTGAGAATTAGAGCTCATATTTATTCTAGGAACTCCTAACAGTTTACTAGTTTTGTTAATATACCAGCCATCTGTTCAATGCTAACGGTAATTTTTGTTTGTTTGATGTCCCTCAGTAGGCATAAGCTATTACAGTAAATCAGAGTTTATATATGTACAATTCATTATTAGGTAGAAGGTGAAATGAGTAAGAACAACTCTACTATGCAGCAATGCTACTGAGTTTCTTTTTCTTTTTAAATCTGGCAACCATAATCTCTACTGCAGATTGCTCAATTAAGATTGTGTCTGCTGTATAAGAGAATACAAGGCAAACACAATGTCCAAACTGCTGGGTTCTTGTATTGATAATACTGAAAATATAATTTAAGATCCAGATGTCAATGTATTACGTGTAGAATCCTACGATTGTTATACCTGAGATAAACATGGGATGGAGTCTCACCTTGGGACAACCTTCATCTTCTCTCCTGTTTGGCCAATATCCATTATTCTATTGAATCAATAGAATATATTCTCATAAGCTCTACAGTTCATAAAAATAAGTAGAAATCCCTTGTCACCTAATTTAATGCTGTGCCCAGTTTTGTAAGCCATTTTTGCCTTTGCCAGAGATATACATAAAAATGGTTACATGATGCATGGTGCTTTGTAGGATTAAAGGATAATTTACTACTGTTGTCTTGATTGGCAGTTTTAACACTTTTAAACAGCGTACATAATTTTTTGTTGTAATTTTAGGTTTTGAATTATTTTAATCTATACTACTTTGCATGCATATAATTTGAAGGCTTCATATGCCTTCCATGGGATGTAAAGCACTGTTTTAAAAATATTTGAATTATCTCTGATTATATTTTAATACATGCTTAAGCAATTGCGTTCAAAGTACCTTGTGAATTGTAAAGATAGAACTTAATCATCTGAATTAAGTTTATACTTACCTAAAGCAATCATATAACCTTCAAAGTTTTCATTTAATACCATTTCCCATTTCCCATTGTAATCGGCAGGCATTGCTGCTAGGTAGTTTAGCTATGGAATATGAAATGGTGGTTCTCCAAAAAGAATGAACTGTAATTCTATCCTTTTTATAGTTCTTCGGATGTAGTTTATGGTTTCTAATATAATAAAGTCTAAGGGTCACTGAGATAATCTAAGCAGAACGTTATGTTCGTTATTAAAGTTCAAAGAAGAACTAGATGTGAGAAGGAAAATGATGTTGCAATGACCTTTGTAAAATGTTAAGAAAAAAGACAATAGGATATTTTTTATGAAAGCATATGGTTGAAATATGTATTTCATAATGGCAAATTAACAAGTCTAACTTGGTTGCATTCTTTGTTTTTAAAAATGTCTAAGATCTTTGACTTCTGTTTGAATTTTATTAGGAGTGCTATCTAGCTGATTCAGTTCAGTTTAAAAGAAGCAACATCTAATTTCTTCCCAATAATCCCACTCTGCTTGAGATAGGCACACTAATGTTCCATGCACTACGACAACATAGCTGTTTAGGTACTTTTGGATGCTTCTGATGTAGAAAAAGCAGGAGGTGACATACAAGGTGACAAGATAATCACAATGGCATTTTGTTCAGTCCTCCTGCTTCTTCCTCCTAATGTGGATTTCTTCAAACAGCTACAACTAGGACATTTAGCACAAGGTATTATATCAAGCTTGTAGCTGGTT